ATCATTACATTTTTATTCAGCATTTTATTTGTGGTATTCGACCTTCAAGATCATATGTTGTATAAGTCCATTTATAGATAATGCCAAACTCATAGGCACAGAATGTGGAAACTGGGGGTGTAAGGGACTAAGTGGGGGTGGGATCAAGAATGGAACACCTATAGAGTCACTGTTTCTTTTTGAAGTGGTGAGACTTTTTGAGTACTGAGTAGTGGCATTGCAAACTCTGGATAAGCTAAGTGGTTTTGATTCATGCATCTAAAATGGCTGAACTTTAAAGTTTATAAATTATCCCTCAATAATTTTGTTTTTAAATATCTTGTGATGATATATGGGAACATTTAAACTTTCAAGTTATTTGGAGATTAGTCATCTTTGCCACATTTACTCTTTTAATCTATATCAACTTTTTCTTTTTTAAGATTTATTTATTTATGCATACAGAACTGGGGTACAGGCCAAAGGTGCAGGGGTAATAAGAGGCTTCACCAGAGACAGAGAGGGGAGCAGAACAGGCAGATGGAGGAAGCACACTGCAGAGGGGAGCATGGAGGTATTCAGAAGAGCTCTGTCACACCATGTGGTCACCCCCCGGGGCTGGGGATCAAATGTACTGAAGCATCTGCTGGGAGCTTGCATTGCTGCATCCTAACCCGTTGCACCACCATGGAGGGTCCCTCAATCTATATCAAATTTAATCCTTCAATTTTTAATCATGCTTTTTGTTTTTATAGAAGTCATTGGAAAATGATTTTATTCTTTTGTAATGGCATCTTATTTTATGATGTCTGAAATGTCTGTTAGCAATTTTTGTTGCTATAAACAGAAATACAACTCACATTGGCTTATTGGTTTATTTGTCATGTTTTTGCAGACTTTACATATTAATTATTTCAATCTATTTACACATCTGGTATATGAATATATGAATTATGAATTTTGATGTCCATAGTTATTGCATTGTAAATAATCAGACTTTGCTTCTTTCCAACTTCAGTACTTTATTTTTATTGGCTTACTACAGATCAGAGTTTTACATTCAATGTTGAATAAAGGTTGCCAGGATTGATCTCTGTATATTCCCACTTTAGGAAAAGAGATTTCAATATTCATTCTTAAATGTGAAGTTATTGTAACATTTTCATCCTTACCCTCCAATTAATGTATTTTCGTCACTTTTTAATTTTGTAATGTTTTTACAAATTTGATGTTACATGTATTCATTTTGCCACAATTAAAATCAAAATATTTTTACTTTGTAAAATGTTTTATGAATAAATGATCTTTATTGCTTTCAAATCTAAGCTACCTTGCCTTTTTGAAATAAGACTTTACCAATAATTCTGTGTGTTTTCTCATGTATATATTTCATTTAGACCACCATAATTTTCTTTTTTACTCAAAAAAAGATCATTCTATGTTTTGATTCACACTCCACATGTGACAGTTTTGCATGAAGGATATATGAAAAAGGAGTGTTGTTTTCCTACTACCTGTCAGCCTTTGTGCATAGCACTGTGGTATTCAGTGTTATTTCACTTCTGATAACACCTGAGCATATAAACCTGTTTCCGAGGAGGTTTTATGTAAGAACAAAATAATTGTAACACCTCAGAGTTTCCTAAGGACAGCTAGTTTCAGGGCATCTTTTTGGTGTTTTTCATTTTCTAAACTTTTCTCTCTCGTATTGACATTAAAATATCTTCATTATACTGGCTGATTGTCTGCTGGACCTATTAAAACCAAAATGCTTTTCTCATGCTTAAATTAGATACAAAAGACTTAGGTTCTCAATTGTTTTCTTCAGTAGTGTACTTGTTCTAATTAAGTTTTTACAATGAGAATACATTTGGTTTGTTTATGTTCTTTAAGAATTTTGTTCTTTGTCATTCATGTGTGCCATTTATTGTTTTCTTCCTTCCATTTTTTAGATGAAATCACTAATTTTGACTTTTCTATTTTCAATTTCTTTTATGCATGCTCAGATTTCCGCCTTTTCCTTTTGAGCAATATATATATGCGTTTAGGTCATCGGATTTCAAATGACAGAATATTGTTTTCACATTTTCCTTATATTTCATATGATATTGTGAACGTATTTTCTGACCATTTCTTTGACTCATAAAATAAATAGGCACGCCACTGAATGCAAAATCATGTAGGGATTTCCTTTTTGTGGTTACGAATATAAATTAGGTGAACTCTGTTAGGGAATACTCTTTGAAACTGGGAATGTTTCACATTTCTTTAAATAAGAGTGATTGAGAAATCAATTTGAGCTCGCAAACCTGCTTTATTTGTCCTCCAATTCTTTGGAGGATATTTTAAAAACTGACTCTTTGTCCCCTCAACAGTATGACTGTTGTCATATTTTCAACAAATACTCCTATTAAAGTACAGACATTTTATAAATAATCACTTGTGACTATATTATGTTTAGGCAATGAATCAATGAAAAACCTGATGATTATTTGAAAGTTGAAATGCAATATTTTATAATTATTAGTGACCTATTACTTAAAATATATTACTTATGGGATTGTGGTTTTAGCATGTTACCAATAAAATGGAATTGTCATATGAAAGTGTAAGTAAAATATAACTAGTGCCAAGATGTAGCAAACTTGTATAACAGAAAAAAAATCTACTATACTCTTAACTACACTTTCGTGTTGTGGTTGAGATAGAAGCAGTTTAACAATCAAGTTGGTTAAGTCTTTTGTCTCTTGATACCTTTAGAATTCTATCACAGTTTCTTAGAGTATTTGTCAATGGACAAACCAAATAACACACTACAGGCTCAGTCTCTTCTGCTTGGAGGTGTGTGATGAGAAACTGCCTTCACAATAGCTGGGATTTCCTGTTCAGTTTAAGTGACTCTTTGGCAAGAAATCTACTTTTTCAAGTGTTGCTTTACTCTGCACCTTCACAGGGGAGTCTGTGTAAAACGCAGATAGTGTATGTCTTTTTCCAAGAGTAACCAAGTCTCCTTCTGGAGGATACTGCACTCTCTGGCCACGAGGAGGTATGTGTTCCTGCTGTCCTGTCTCTCTGCCAGCCCATCATTGATTACAAATACTGTGCATTATGCCACAAGTGATAAGTGAGTAAAATTATCGAAATAGAAATTGTTTATTGAGTAATTCAGGATGGATAATAATCATGAATATGCAACGTTTTAAAGATTATCTTAACTATTCAAAGTCTTTACTATGTGGAGGAGAATTACTTAGGTGCATATATACAAAGAGAACTGGGGTTCAATCAATACAATTTTATATGAAATCCCGTAACTCTACAAAATGGAAAGTTTCTTTAGGAATTTTCCATCAGAACAATATAATTCTCCATATATTATTTATTGTTGGGTCATGTTTTTACATAGATTCTTAAAATGAATTCATTAATTAGAGTGTCAAATATCATTCCTCATATAGTTATCAATCGTAATAAATCCCATTCAATATTTCATACAAATGAGATGAAGTAGTTCCACAAATTTCTAATTTAGTTATAAACTTTGAAAAGTTTTCTTTTTTTAATTCAACTAAACATTGCCAAGAATATAAGCACACTGATTAAAGAGACTCTTGTCTAAGGAAGTAGGCTAAATAAGTTTTTTGAATGCTAAGTAAGTACTTCAGAGTTTGAAAGTGAAGTTTGAATGTTAGCTGTTTTATATGTATTACATCTTATGTGTTTTTATTCTAGTTTTATATTTATAAGCTAAATTGATTATATTATGTAAATTTTGTATGTTCCAAAGTGAGAGTTAATTCCACTCTTGAGAAGGTCATTGATTCAATTATCGTTTACATTGTCTGATATATTCCAGTTATCAATACAATTACAGTCCTTCTGGATGTTTATACCAACATTATTTTCCCCTCAGTGATTTTATACTTTCTTATGTTTTACATTCATTCACTTACCAAATTTGGGTATACAATAAATGCTATTTCCATATGTTTGACTTGCCAATATTGTTTAGAAGCTAATGTAACATTATTTTTCATATAATAAATATTCTCAAAATCTAATGATTACTTAAAATTCCAGAATATTTGGTGAAAAAAAAATTTTTTAACCACTCATCCCTTTTAAAAATAAATGTTAGTCACTATACAAAGGTGCAGGAAATTAATACATATACTAGCACAACTATTATATACTATAGAACACTCAGTCTTTATTCATTAAAGTTAGCACATCTTTATTTTTTTCTAATATAGCACTTTAACATTTAATCTAATTGTTTCAAAATTTTGTTAGTGGTGACTTTAAATTAGTGTGCATGTTAATATTTGTAAAATTTTCCACATTAATATTTGGTCTTCTATTCCCACAACCATTAGAATTGTGTGAAAAATAAAACTGTATTGTTCAGGCCCTCCCTGGTGGCGCAGCGGGTTAAAGCACAGCACTGAGAAGCTAAAGCCACATCCACATGAGTTCGATTCCCGCCTGCCCCGGAGGTGACCACATGGCGCGGCAGACCTCTCCTGACCCGCCTGCTGCTCCCCACAGCAGTGTACTTCGCTGATCTGCCTGTTCTGCTCCCCACTCTGTCTCTCGTGAAGCCTCTCACCACCCCTGAGCTTCTGGCCTGTACCCCAATTCTGTATGTACAAATAAATAAATCTTTTAAAAAAATTGTATTGTTCAAATTAAATTAAATAGTAAATTATCATGCAAAGCTTTTTTAAGCGATAAAGAAATTTTACTCAGGCTTGTCCATGATTCAACTGCAGTATGAGATTATCACTCTCCAGTCTCCGCCCACACGGCAGAACTAGGGACCTGGTCTTCATGTGAGGCTCAGAGCACCATCCCTGAGAAGACTCAGCTGCAAGAATGAACGACCACATGGAGAACTCCCCAGCACTGAATCTGGACCCAAGAGCGCTGCAAATGAAAGGTAAGGGCACGGAAGCTCCCCTTCACCAACAGAAGAGTAGATAGAAACCTCTGTGGAAATGAATTTTCAAAATGCTTTTCAGGATTTTCAAGGGAATGACAAGCACCGACCTGCAGAGCTGAAACAGTTACTAGATGCGTGCAGCTGTTCTGGGCTGTGCAACTGGGCGCCACAGTGTGAAAGAGTAGGGGATAAACACATATTCCGGTGTGAGACTTGGAGCTTGGAATACGAATATGCCATTGTAATCTGAAACAAGAGGACTAATTTAGTTCTGGTATTATTGGGTGTTGGCATCTATTACGTTTATTGAAAACGCGATATAATTCCTGGCAGCCGGATTACAACAGGAGATGAGGGTCTGGGTTCCACCTCCCATGTGTGTCTCTTGGGCAGGCTGGTCTCGGGTCTGCAAATGTCAACATTCATCCCATTTCTTCTCAGTGTTTCCATTTCTCTCCCTGCAGATTCGCCCTTTGCTCCAGGGATGATTGTTGCTGACGACCTGGGGATCCTTTTGGTGCCCACAATCGTAAAAATCATAGTTCTCATTGCTCGTAAGAAAAACTGAAATATTCCAGGGATGTTTAATGCTCTCAAAGAATGTCAGTGACTCTAAAGTTCCTAATATTTTATAAAATAGCTTTGATTTATTGCATGATTTTAAACAAAATATATTTTTTTCAATATTTGTACAAAGTATTGTTTATTTTAATAAATATATTTATTGTATAAAATTGCACTGAAAAGTTTTCTTATGTTTTTAAGAAATATATTATAAAACACACTTATTATCTAGAGGTTATAAGTATACAAATGTATTCTGATTTTTACAATAACGTGACTTAGAGACTAAAAGGTCATATCAAAAATGAAAATTAAGTCTTGAGATATGTTAAAGTAAGTACTTTAACATAATTCCTTATATGTGATGCATTAATTCCTTATATTTGAATTTACTCCTAATTTTCTATGATTTTAAATTTTTCTTTCTATTATCAATTTTATTTAAGGTTATTTAAAGCTAAAGCAATGAAATGAACTGAAATTTAGAAGCCACAATAAATACATGTATTCAGACCAATGAACTTTTATAAGGATTATTTAAATATTTTCTAGTTTCTATAAAGCTGAAGCACAAATATTTGCCAACATTAACGACAAAAGGTAAATAATGATTTTCAAAATATCATTGTTAGTACAATTAATATTTAATACACATCTTACTCTAAGCGGTAAACATTTATTTCCGTGTCCAAATTTATGTACGTGACTCCCTGTGCATGATGGTTCTCTTGTCTGTGAAGTGAACACCCTTCTCCGCCTGTCCTTTCTCAGTCTCAGTCTCTCTCCCAGCAGGCTCACCGGCTCCTCCCGAGAAGCGCATAGCTGGGATTCTGGGACTCACCTGCCTTGTCTTAATATGCGTTATTGTAGCAGTGTACTGCAGGTGAATTTCAATAACAGTATAAGCGAAGATTTCACTTAATGACTGTCAGTTCCTCTAAATAATTCTTAATATTAAGATAAGAACTCTCTTATTATTGTCATTTTTAGGCTAAATGATGCATGATGATGGTTCTAATTTGTCTAAATTTTAGATATAAAGAATGTAAAGAATGTTATCATTCAGATTTCATAACTCAAGGACATGTTTTTAGAGAGTGAAAGGCATTATTGAGAAATACAGATTCATTCTTGAGATTTGTTAAAACAAGTATTATAGGAGATTTTGAAGTTTGGGCCTATAAATGTTGAAAATGATTTTACCTGTCTTATTCCTTTATTCATCCATTTGGTAAAATCTGTTGTATTCTAGCTTATTATAAACCTAACCAATGTATAAATTTATAAATTAGAAACTCTTATTATTATGACTTACTAAAATCAATATTAATTTTTATAAGAACTTTTAATTTTTTTTCTAGCTCCCATAAGGTGGAAGAAGAAAATAGCTCCCCATCAACAACAGAAGGTACATAGCGATTTTCAAAATGCAAATGTTAGTACAATTTCTATACTACCAAATGCTAAACTAGGCAAAATGTTTATTTTGGAAAGAGATAAAATTACTAAATTAGACAATAAATTTTCACAAATGATATCAGTAGTAGAATGTTCTTCTATGCAGCAACATGAAGAAATAATCATTTCCCGTCAGCATACCCATTTTGATCAATTGAGTCAAATGTTCTATGACTAGTGCAATGTTATAAGGGATAAATAATTTGAATGTACAAAAAAATGGTTTTGTTCACTGTCTTCAAGGCATGCAAAGTAGTTATTGTTGTTAGTGATTTCCCAATACATGAGCTGACCCTACCCTGTGAGTGTGTCTAGTATTACATGTGCCAATATGAGATGCAAAATTATGATACAAACACACATATGTTAATTCAGTGCACATTTTATTATATATTGTAAAATAGTTACTCAAACTTTTTTGAAACAGCTAATTTTTCCTTGGCATATCATTGTGGCCCTTGTCCAAAGGGGGCGTTCACCTACTCCAACAACTGCTATTTTACCAGTCATGAAAAAAAAA